CAATTTCAGAAAAGAAAAAAAGACATTTCACATAATTTTACTATAAACCAATTTTAAGTTCATTTTAATGTTGGCTTATAACTGAAAGGAGTTTTCTCTTTTAATCATTTTTGTTGCCGGTGTCTCTACTTCCATGCACTCAAATTACTTACGACGGGTAGCCTAAAAGTTAATGAGCTCAATAATTAGATCAAGTAATCTGTCTAAAAACTATTAAGCTTAATAATAGGAGATTTGTGGGTTGACCGAGATAAAACGACCATAGGTATGTTGGTCTACTAAAGCGCTCAAAATAATTCAGATTGCCTAATCTATATATGCAATAATATTTTTTGTTTTTGCATTTATTCGCCTTGAATAAATAACTTAATAAAAAAAAAAAAAAAAAAAAAAAAAAGAAGCAAAACAAGCTGAAGAAAAAACTTGCGATTTTCCGTGAAAGTAGAGATTACGTCAAATTGTGCCTCAATTCACATCATTGATAATATCGCACGCTGTTTATCTTAGCAACATGCGCTTTTCTTCTCCACCACGAACAGCAATAATAACAATAACAACAACAACAACAACAACAATGTAACAAAGTAACATAATATCAGAAAAGTTGACTTCAAGGGCCAACCGACAAAAACAAAATAACAAAATGGTAACAGCAACTAACGTTCTTCAGTTTTGCAACAAGAACAAAATGCATACTTTAGCGAGTTGTTGTTGTTTTAGCTTTTCAAAAATTTTTATCGAGAAAATGTTACAAGTGTGCTCTGCTCGCTCTTCTTTTTCGGTACGTAATAAAAGTTTATAATGCACAAAATTCCCGCTTTCTGCCATTTGCTTATGTCCTTATTCTTACCACTATGCTAAGATTACATTCAAACACTACTTCACTACGTTTAGTCATTGCTCACCGTTGTCTGTTTCTCCCTCTCTCGCCGCGTCCTTACTAACACACAAAACACACTCATACATCCAACCATTCACGCATATTAAAACGCATTCATACATACACGTGTCTTATGAGTATGTCAAACTCCATTTTAATACGTGATTGGATGAACGTTGCTTGGATTGGATGTTGCTTGATAACTCGTACGGTTGTCTTATGCTTGTGTCCTCAGAGTTTGTAGAGAGTAGTTTTCTTTGTCATTAAATTTGAAAATATGAGAAATTCGTGCTGTTAGCGTAAAACGATGTACTTGAGTGCAGCAGCGTATTGCAGTAAAGAAACTAAGAAAATCGAAAATGATATATATATATATATATATGTACACTGTCGTGCGAGCAGCATACATTGCGTAAGTGTAAAATAATTGAAAATAATGCTTTTGCTATTCAATATTTTATAGGAAAATAATAATACTTGGAACATGTACATACATGTTCGTATAAAAGGCATATACATACATATACATATACATGCACGCATATACCCCATCCTAATGTTGGCTGATTATATAGACACTTTAAGAATGCAGGATAAAATAAAATTTAATAATAGACTGTATACATACACACACGTTGTATACTAAAGAAAATGTTATTGGTAAACCCAACCGTCAGCCAAAAAAAAAAACCCAATTCAATAATAAAAATTTCAAATCATTTAGATAAATGAACGAATATCAATCAAATTGCTTTTAAAGATAAAATAGATGTTCATCATGATCAAAATACTTGCAAGAAAAGGGAAAAATATTCGTACCGAGACGTGTTACATTAAAGTACTTTACTATAAATGTTTATATTCCATCAAATAGATAAAATTAATCAACGTTTAACGTAAGAGCTTGATTACACTATTTCAATAATATTGACTACGCTTTGCTACTGTAAACGATTATAAATATCTTTCACTTAAATCGATTATTGCGAAAGCACAGAGAATATCAGAAATACGAAGCATAGCAAAACAATTGACAAAAGCAATTAAAATTTTCAGTAGTTTAATTGACACTAAAACTTATCGAGGCTCTCACGATGACTGAAAATATTTGAAGGAAAATTAGAAACAATCGCCTAACTCGCTTGCCTACATTTCCAAAGAAAACTTATGAGATGTCCTTAGTAGATCATATAATCATGATTCGATTCAAAAATCTAACGTTCCTTACGCTCAATCGCACCACATGAGTAGTATTAGGTTTGTCAGGTGCTGATGATGCATAAATATTTCCTAGATATATAGTACTATGCTCAAAAACTATGATCAATATTAAGTTTATATTGCGCGAATATCAAAAATATTTTTCTTCTAAATTGGCAGCGTCGTGAAAGACATCTGTGTCAGATTTCACAACATAAATGTCGTTAGTGTTTCAGCGACGCTTGGTTTTGTACGACGCAAAAAATATTTTTTCCGATTTTTATTATATCTGTAAGAGCCTGATGAAATGCATTGCTACGGGAATAGGGACTTTTATCTACACCTAGTAGTAGCACTAGCATTCTAGTAAAACTCGTACCAAGGATAGGCCAAGACAGAAAAGGCTACGTCAAAGCCGCTCAAAAATCAAGGTGATGTTACCAATTTTCTTCGATTATTGTACTGTTGTGCAGTGAGAATTCCTTCTGTAGGGCCAAACTATTAACAAAGTGTAAATTGGTCTTACTTTTTGGACGCACTGTTATATCTTTGAAGGTAGTGTAAGTTCATTTTATATTATATGGATATAATTAAGTGCTTGTATTTGCATGGTATGAGAAATATTGATATATAATTCTTAAAGCATCGTGGACTCAACATATCCTCTCTAGGTCCACTCCATTAATATTGTAAAAGATAACCGCAACCAGATAGTAATTAATGATTGCGCAAAGCCATCATTGAGCAAACGCTTTTAGCAAAGAACTCAACCAATCTTATGTAAGACACGTAAGAAAATTATATTCGACTACGACTGTATCTTTTGTACCCATCGCTTTTATTCTTAAAAAGACTTTAAAAAAGAAGAAAATTTAATTTCCATGCTCTAAACTGTTGAGGGGGCATGGCTGATTTTTTCTAGGAAGAAGCTTTAGTGGCCGTTTTTATGATAATAGCTGAAAGCATGGGACGTCAAAGATTTTAATAGCGGAAGGTACGCAAGAGTCAGCCCCAGCTAAGTATGACTTTCTGACTTGTTTTAGAGAGAAAATAAAAATTCATATCGTGTGTCTGAAGCGGATATTTCCATTGTTGCGATCTTGAACAAATTTACTAAATCAATTGGTGGACGGATCAATAACAATAACATTGTATCGGTCTCTGAAGATTCTTTTCGATGCTGCAAACGTTTTGATCAAAATCTGAAATCTTGATTTTATACAATGGGCAGGCTTGGTTTGATTTTTTCTATTTTCATAGAGGTGCTGCTGGACCATCCGTAAAATATAAATGCATATTTTTATTGTTTATCTGCTGCGGTTTTGCAAGTAACGAGACATACCCACCTTTTCTTTTTTTGATTTTAATAACTGAAGTGGTTTCAGTTTATGTCGTACTGTGGGTGTGCCCTTTCGTCTGTTTGGCCCAGTTTCAATACCTACCCGCGTGCAAGAATTACTGAAGTTTCTGCCAAATTTGAAGCAGATATCTCGCTATTTGAGGTCAGGAGAGTGGTTACCACAAGCATAGACAGTCAGACAGACGAGCAGAGGGGATTGCTTAAGTCCGTTTAAAATTTGAGACTGATCAAGAACATATATGCTTTAAACAGAATCTGAAGTGCTCTTTAATAATCCTCCGATGCTAGTTATAAAGAATTATAGGTATGTTTAATATAGTTCTGTTCGATTCTTATATGCTTCCGCAAATCTTTCTTTCTTTTTCTTTTTTTTTCTTAACATAACCAATTACTTGGGCGAATAGGGGACATTCGTGTAACACGGTGACGGTTATAAAGAAGTGAAGAAAGATATAGAGATAGAATCTCAGTCTAGTGAATGTTGTGCCCTTACCGATTAAATGCTGATCATAGTTACGATCAAAGCAAGCTCTCTACCGCACGCTGTTCTATCAACCTATCTATTCGACTGCTCTTGTGAGTGTAAATTGAAGTCTCTATTCGCTAATGAAAGTTTATGAAGTCTTGGATCAATTGCTGGTTTAGTTGTAACGCAAATGAAATATTCTACATAGAAGAAAGGCGACGAAAAATGCAATTTTTTTATTCTGGGTACTTTTTACACAATATATAAATTGTAATTGAGAAAAAGGTATTAAGGAAACCTTTTAAGTGTACCTTAAGTTGGTTTAATTTGAATGCATGGACACAAATCACTTAAATTAATATCTAAATCGGCGATAAACTAAATGCACGTCTACAAGCGAAAGTCGTTAAAAGCTGTATATCATTAAATGGCCATTACCCACTAGACACACTGCAATATAAACAGATTTAATGCTGCAATAAAAAAGTTAATCAGTAAATAAAGTTTCGACCATGCGTTTCCATTATCTTGTAAACATCAGATTTAATTACTGACCACTTTAAAAAAAAAAAAACAACAACAACAACGACAAAATGAAAAAGGTAGATAAGAACTGCTCTCTAAACGTTCATTAGAATTTGTAAATATTTTGTAATTTCTTTGTCTAGTAATTGATTAATTTTTTAAAGCGGTAAAAAGTGAGTTGGTCTCCCTTCCCGTCAATACAATTACATTACAATGATCTTTTTTTACGATTTTTCCAGTTTTCTTCTTTTTTTTTATTTTGATGGCCTTCACATATACTACGTTAAGTAAACTTTAACAGTTTAGTAGAAGATATTCAAGTCCACATATCTATTTACTTACCTACGTACCTCTTATCTATCACAAATATTAATGAGCTACGTTTATTATACATTTATCTTTCAAAAGGGGATTGTTAAAGTCTTCCGAAATGACTTTACTATATATCTGGTATCAAATATAAATTCATTACGTTAAGTTAACTGAATGTGAGAACATCTTCGAGCACCTAGTTCTAGTGGTATATGACGTAGAAGTCTTTTTGTTTATCTTTTGGTTTTTTTTTTTTTTGTTTTTTTTTTTTCTTAATTCAAGTGATAATATAAACACTCAGTCATCAAGATGCAATCTTTTAAAGCTGACGAATTACCGGAGAATCCTCGCGAAACCGCAAATGTTTTATCATCACTAATGTTTTGGTAAATTTCGCTTTCGCTTTCGATTTCGCTTTTAACGATAAATGAAATCTTATCACCTATCATCATTATTATTATTATTATTATTTTTTTTTTTTTTTATATATAGCTTTGCTATGCCCACATTTTTTAAAGGGCGTAAAAGAGTGTTGAATGAAACGGATCTTTATCAGGCTTTACAGGAACACAAATCATGTAAGTGAACGATAACAACTAATTAGTAAGCAAACTTATGTGTTGCGAAGTGTATTTTAGAACACATACGTTGGTGTAGAAGAGATTTTTTAGGATCCTGGAATTGGCATGTAATAGCATGCTTCCGTGTATATCAACTTTGAGAAGGTTTTCATGAAAAATTATATTCTTTTTTTTATCTCGTGTGTCCCTCTACAAATCTCTAACAAGTTTAAGTGAATCGCGTGCGTTTATAAATTTGATTTTAAAATCTAAACTAAAAATGTATAACAGAAACGTATAACAGAAACTTTTTTAACGTTTGGTATCGTGCGAGTCTTATGAAAGATGTCAACGTAAGGATGCGAAGGGTTCGAATGAATTCCTTCCATATGTTGGACTGATCATCAAGGGCTTAGGGCCTGAGTTTTGGACCGGCATATTGAATGTTGAGGATTTTTTCCTTTATTCCGTTAAGTTGGGTCTGCGTTGGGTACTAAGTGACTGAATTAATGTTAGGCGATTTTTTTAGGAGAAAAGTCGGAATAATCCAAGAGAAGGGTAAATAAATTATTTTGAAATATAAATCGGCAAATGTTGACAGACGACGTAGGGAAATCTCTTCGAGAACTCCGTCAAAACCTCTTATCTATGTAGAGGCTACGGGCAAGTCCCTGCTGATGTTGCAGATTCTCAAAATTTATGACTTAACCCCTGCCAGCAAGGCAAAGGAGTGCAAAAAATGAAAAACTATGGGTGATGATATCGATTACCCACAGTTTGCTGCCTGCTTTGCTAAAATCAATCACTGAAGACACTATGGACGACAATATCGACTATACAGAGTTTGCTACCTAGTTACTTATACAATATGATACGAACATCACATGTCGCATAATTTCGATTGCTCTCATTTTTAAGCCAATGGCTTTAAACAATTAAGATAATAAAATTCTCTAAATATTTCCCAAGATCCCAATGCCTCCTAAAATAGGAGAGAGATAAGGAAATTAAAATTATTTCGAAGCATTTTCTCGCACAGACATATTTTAATGTTTGCAAACAAATCCACGGTTGACTCTTATCATACAGCTACAGCTAATCCCACCTAGATGGTGTAATACTTTGGCGCTGACTCAACTAAATATATCTGATATAATTTTAACCTAGAAAACATTTGCTTAAGCGAACGAGATTTCTTATCTTAATCTCAAAAAAACAAAATAAATAAATAAATAAAAAAAAAAAAATTCGTGTATTTGTTTTTTTAATTTCAGCACGTATTGGACATAAACTTAACCATGCTTGGGAAGTTGAATGTGAAAAACAAAAGCATAAAAAAAAGGGACCAAGCTTACTGAAAGTGCTATTAAAAGTCTTCGGTGGTCATTTCTGCCTCTTGGCTATAGGATTACTTATTATGGAATTAGGTTTAAAGTAAGAAACGCAAAGGAAACTTGAAATATTCATGAGCTTCACGAATGCTGCTTCTAATTTCAGAGTTTCTCAGCCATTATTTTTGGGTAAATTGATAGCCTCTTACTCTGAGGTAGACGTTGACAATGAAGCTGAAGTTCTCAATACTTATCTATATGCGCTGGGTGTTATCTTAACTAATGCGTTTAGCGTATTCATAGTGCATCCGAATATGTTGGGTCTTTTGCATTTGGGCATGAAAGTTCGCGTAGCTTTATGCAGTTTAATTTATCGGAAAGCCTTACGTTTAAGTAAAATATCTTTGGGTCAAACTACAACGGGTCAAGTTCTAAATCTTATATCAAATGATGTGGGACGTTTCGATACCTCAGTTATACATTTGCATTATCTATGGATTGGTCCGTTGCAAGTAATAATTGTGACTTATTTAATGTACAGAGAGGTAAACAGAAATTCGCTTTTTATTAAATATTGCAGAATACCTTTGTACTTCTACCCTTCTTTCTTTCTTCTTCAGATCGGCATAGCTTCCATATTTGGTGTGGCGATTATGATTGTCTTTGTGCCTTTGCAAATGTTCTTGGGTAAGAAAACGTCCAGTTTACGTTTGCTTACAGCACTGAAAACGGACGAACGCGTCCGTATGATGGCCGAAATGCTAAATGGCATGCAAGTAATTAAAATGTACGCCTGGGAAATTCCATTGAGTAAAATGGTTCATTATTGTCGGCAAAAAGAAATGAGCATCATACGTTATGTTAATTACATACGCGGGATTATGCTTAGTTTTATCGTGTTTTTAACACGCTTCTCGATTTTCGCCAGCTTGGTTGGCTATGTGTTACTAGGTAGTTTCCTGTCAGCCGAAAAAGCTTTTGTCATTACCGCCTATTATAATACACTAAGAGTTGCTATGACCGTCTTCTTTCCCGCTGGTATTACTCAATTCGCTGAGACATGGGTGTCAATCAAACGAATGCAAAAGTATATGCTGCTGCAGGAAACGAATCTATCAGAGAAATCATTAATGCAGACAGAAAGTAAAGGCTTAAATGTTGAAGACACCTTTCCATTCATTTACAAACCGCATAGGAGTTCTGGTGTTCTTATTGAAAATCTGTCCGCGAAATGGGATACAAATTCCTCAGAAAATACTTTGCAAACAATTAACTTACATATAAAACCAAAACGTTTGGTTGCAGTCATTGGTCCAGTTGGTGCTGGTAAATCAAGGTATGTATGTCGTTACAATATAAAATTATAAGGATGATCGCAGTGTGCTGCTTTATGTGCTTTTAGCTTAATTCAAACTATACTCGGAGAACTGCCAGCTGATTCCGGTTCAATTAAGGTTGACGGTGTGATTTCTTATGCGTCTCAAGAACCGTGGCTTTTCACTGGCACAGTACGTCAGAATATACTTTTCGGTTTACGCATGGATCGCCAGCGTTATCGTACGGTTATCAAAAGATGCGCTTTAGAAAGGGATTTTGAACTATTGCCCTATGGCGACCGGACTGTAGTGGGTGAACGTGGAGCTTCGTTATCGGGTGGCCAAAAGGCACGCATCAATTTGGCTCGTGCCGTTTATCGTCAAGCTGATATTTACCTGCTCGATGATCCTTTAAGTGCTGTTGATGCGCATGTCGCCCGCCATTTATTCGACCAATGTATGCGTAATTATTTAAGCGAAAAAATTGTTATTCTGATAACACATCAGTTGCAATTCTTGGAACAAGCCGATTTAATAATTATAATGGATAAAGGTCGCATAACCGCCAAAGGTACCTTCGAATCGATGCGTGAAAGTGGCTTGGATTTTGCCAAACTACTTTCACATGCGGAAGAAGAACAAGAGGACACACTCTCGTTGAGGTCTGCAGATGAACGTCGCAGTTCTAAGTCGAAAAAAGATAATTTATTCCTGCGGCAAGCTAGCATATCGTCCAGATTATCGTTGACAGAGTCAGCGACTGGAGAATTGCCTCGGCAAGTTGAAGAATCTCGGGAAGAGGGTAAAGTGGGTTTGAAATTATATCACAAATATTTCAAAGCAAGTGGCAGCTACTTGATGGTAGCGGTTGTGGTCTACTTTTGTTTATCCACGCAGATAATAGTTTCAGCTTCTGACTACTACCTCTCATTTTGGTAAGTCAATGATTCTATTATTTAATTTCCCGTTCTAGATTATTTTCACTTTTCCAGGGTTAACAAGAACGAAATAAATCCTTCCGATATTACGGAGACATCCACAGACACTATAGACATCTATATATTCACCGGCCTCACGGTGGGTTTGATAGCTTTTACCGTAATACGCGGTTTCTTGTTCTTCAGCTTAGCCATGAAATCATCTACAAATTTACACAATGATATGTTCATGGGCATAACCAGAGCGCCTATGTATTTCTTTAATACCAATCCATCAGGAAGAATATTAAATCGGTTCTCAAAAGACTTGGGACAAGTAGATGAGATTCTGCCTAATGTCATGCTGGATACTATTCAAATTTTCCTCTCACTTGCTGGTATTTTGGTTGTTTTGTGCGTAATTAATCCTTGGTACTTACTGGCCACTGCCATTATGGGAATAATATTTTACTTTTTACGTTCTTTTTACCTGAAAACTTCTCGAGACGTTAAGCGTTTGGAAGGCATCAGTAAGTAGGAAAGCAAATACTCCCTTAAATGCGTAAAAATTACAGGCACTTTTTCTTTAACCAGCTCGCTCTCCCATCTACACGCACGTGAGCGCTTCGTTAAATGGCTTGGCTACTATACGAGCTTTCGGCGCTGAACGGATATTAATTTCCGAATTTGATAATTATCAGGATTTGCACAGTGCCAGTTTTTATATGTTTTTGGCAACCACTCGCGCCTTTGGCTATTGGTTGGACTGTTGGTGTGCTCTATATATAGCTGTTATAACTCTCAGTTTCTTTGTGTTTAATCCTGAGAGTAGTAGCGATGTGGGCTTAGCCATTACTCAAGCTATGGGAATGACGGGCATGGTTCAGTGGGGTATGCGGCAATCGGCTGAATTAGAAAACACTATGACTGCTGTAGAACGCGTGGTTGATTATGGCAGCATACAAGCAGAGGGCGAATTGGAAACACGGCCTGATAGGAAACCACCTCAAACCTGGCCTGAGAAAGGTCATATAGTTCTAGAACATTTAAGCTTACGTTATTCACCAGAACCTAAAACCGAAGCGGTACTAAAATCTTTGAATGTTGATATCAAGCCCGGTGAGAAAATAGGCATTGTAGGTCGTACAGGAGCGGGGAAATCTTCGCTAATTAATGCCTTGTTTCGTTTATCGTACAATGAAGGCAGCGTTATTATAGATCAAATAAATACTAACAATTTAGGTTTACATGATCTCCGCAAGAAAATCTCCATAATACCACAAGAACCAGTTTTATTCTCAGGTACCATGCGCTATAATTTGGATCCATTTCACGAATACTCAGATGACAACTTATGGAAAGCCTTAGAAGAAGTAAATTCTTAAATTGCATTCGTAAAAAAATCGTATTTTGCATAAAAGATACATTTCGTTTCAGGTCAAACTTAAACAAGCGATAGTAGAAATGCCGCAAGGCCTACTTAGTACAATAACGGAATCTGGTCATAACTTCAGTGTGGGACAGCGACAAATGGTTTGCTTGGCTAGGGCTATACTACGTGAGAATCGTATACTCGTTATGGATGAGGCGACTGCCAATGTAGATCCTCAAACTGATGCTCTCGTTCAAACCACAATACGTCAAAAATTCAAAGATTGCACGGTACTTACTATAGCTCATCGCCTGAATACTATAATGGATTCTGATAAAGTATTAGTTATGGATGCGGGGCGTGCTGTAGAATTTGCACCACCTTATGAGCTATTAACGGAAAGCAAAGTAAAAGTATTCTATAACATGGTCAAAGAAACGGGTCACACAAATTTTGACAATTTATTAAAAATAGCTCAGACAGCCTACGGAAGCCATAGTAGAGAGCAATGAACCTTTTCAACTATAATGAAACAATAAAACATAAAGCACTTTAATGCTGCTTGCATACATACTTAAGTCAGTTTAGGTAGAAATCTAATGATTAAGTTACATAATAATAAGAATACAACCCTGTTTTAAGAAGAATCTTGTAGCTGAAAAATGCATAGAAAAGTACTTCGTATACAATTATAGGATAATTATAAAAAGTACTATAAAGTAAAAGGAAAAAGCATTTATTAATAGTATAGCTTGTGTAGAGAGAATCTACATCTCGCTGTTTGCAAATGTTCAAGTGGCTACTGGATTTCAATCGATTACTTACGATTACGATTCTCATTTGACTTGTAAGAGCTTTAGCTGCACTGTTGCCGAACCTTAATCATTGCTAATCTACTTATTGGTATCTGCCATGAACGATATAAACGCCGATAAAAGAGTTTGTGTAAAATTGGTTTTTCCCATCGTTTGCAACGCACCGCATCGAACAATTCTCGTTTAATCCAAGAGAAAAATTGCTTTTGCTTCGGGCTCCACGACCGCAGAGAGTCATTCTCTACCTTCCTTCACTTACACATTCCTCTTCTCCTTCCTGTTTTTCTTCTGCTTTTGTTAAAACGGTTAGCAAGTAAAGCAAGCAAAGCAAACGAAAGCAGCTCAAAAAAAGAGCTAAAGCCGAAAAAACAGTGTTTGGATGCCTTAACTATGTCTCTGTAAGCCTACCAAACACAGTTGTTACGATATATTTAGCACGAATAATACAACTTTGTTGTATTGATGTAATAAGTGTTCGAGCCACGATTCATATCAATATCCTTACACCGCTCTTGGTTATGTTATAGCAAAAAAGTATATCTTTTTAATATCAGAAAGCACTGATTAGTGCCCTACTTAGGTCAAACGTCTTTTTAAATCTGACAGTTATGTCTATCTCACGATCTCAAGCTTAAGTTTACTATTTCACTTCTTCGATTGCGAAAAGGACGGCATTGTATATGATAAGACTATAAACGAAGAAGATGAATACTAAATGTAAAAATAAATCCTTATCGGTTTCTCTAAGAGATAGCGTTATTACGTTCATACCAGTATTTCTCAAGTTATGACGTTTACTTACGAAATGTCTCTCTCTCTCTACTCCTAAAATTTATCCAACGATGTACATTATCCGACTAACGCGCATATAACCTGGTTTTCCGCAACATTGAATAGGTTTTAAAACCCGTCCAGTAAACACTATCAGCACTAAACTGAGAACATACATCGTATACGCGTTCGAGGCCCAAGGCATTGCCCGACCGCAATAACACCTGCTCCAACCGATTGATTACTGTCAATTTGAGCAACACTTCTATTCTTATAACTATTCCTACGAAAATAGGTCCTGGGATGGGCTTAGAAAACCAGATCTCATTTCGATAGCGAATTCAAATTCTATTAAAACGATGGTAAACATATGTGGCCCCTATTACCAATCGTACTTTCGGTTAAATATTTTTTTTCCTAATGTCGTGAAATAAGCGCTTTTTTCATGCAAAAAAAAAAGATAATAATTTTATAAAGTCTACAATGAACTGTCCATCTGAACCTGGCAAAGAAACGAAACAAAATAGAATACCCATGCTCCGAAAGGCTTAAAGCCTATGGATTGTAATAGATAAGGATTTACAAATTATGAGGCTTTGGCAAGATTAGACTCGCTCAAACTCAGACTTTAATAAAATCCAGCGCAATCTCCGAATGCAATTCGAACTAAAGAACGACCATCCTCTAAACTTATGGTGTAGATAGTCCAGATGGTTTTTGGAAGCACCGATGGTTTAACTCGCAATCGACGCTTTGGAATGGGTGACAGCCCCACTTTTAACTAACCTAGACAGAGAGTGGTTATTGGTGGTACGCATTGCAACCAATAATCGCTTTCCTAAAAATATAACTTTTAAAATTCGATCCTGCAGGAAAATAGATGTGCACGGTATTTTAATCATTATAAACTTTATTGGTGATCTACACTATACGTAGACATAATCCAGGTATAACTCAGTGCCTTAAATTCAATGTCCTATGGAACTGCGGATCTTTTAAATGTATTACACTTTACAGCGATCCGATGAAACTTTATGTCTTTCTACTCTCTCTCTCTCTCTCTCTCTACATCTTAAGTACGTTAAATTTTCTCAAAACTTTAAATTCCTTAAAAACAACTTTCCTCAATAGGCCCGCTTTGCCTATGTCGCACCCAAATTGACTTTTAATCTTGGAACCTTCCTATAATTCAGAAAATAGACTGAATATGTTCACTACTATCGGCTGCCAATATTGTACATGCTTGCTTAGGACTACACTCCCAACTGGGATCTATATTGGCTGCTGGTCTGCCCCAGTGTTAGATGCTTTCTTTTTCTTTTTTCTATTATATTAAGTGTGTGGGGATATATACAATGCCCATAAGGTCATGGGTGAGGCCCCTGTCTTACTGTACCGATCAATTCGGAAAAGGATTCTGAATTGACTTAGGCTTGTCTGTCCGTCTAATCGTTCATCATCTATCTGTCCGTTCACCTCTATCCTTATCCGGCTGATATTCTTATGTTTGATCGGTAGATCACAATTTTTGAAATAATTTGATGCAGCAGTGTGCTTTGGTCAAAGGATAGTCGCTACGGTATCGTTTTTCAACAACTTTCCACATGACGCTTTATTTTAAGAAGTCGTTACATGAATAACTGTATTAGGCGAAGTGAAATAAGACGTTTAATGGCGAACCCTGGCCAACTATAATATTGTTACTTATTTTCTTCAAATATTTTTTAAAAGTAATCACAATACTTAATATAACACTTCTTACTTCTAAGAGTCAATGGAATTCGTCGGTTAATTTGTTTTAACTGAAATTCATATGCAAACTAAAAAAATAAAAATGAGTATGAGTGAAGCATTTTTTTTTTTTTTTTTGACAAAATGACAAGATGAAATTTCAACAAACTAGAAAAATATTGACTGTGACGCTTTTTACGGAATACTTATTTCCGTTTACGTTTACATATCGTTCTGGCACTCGTAAATTCTACAAATTTATGTTTCATAGTAAAGCTAGCAATAAGTTAAAGCGTACGTGGTCAAGTGAACATCTGCTGTTTAAAATCTCCTACTCCTTCTACTCCTCCTCCTCCTCCTTCTCTTGCTTTTAAAGAAATTCAAAAGAAATATTTGAAAAATTCTAATTTCCTTATCGTTCTCTATGAATGAAATGGAAAAGCACCAGAGCAATATTAAATTTCCATTTGTTTTTTTTTACTTTTTTTACTACATTACCCTATAGACCCAAGTATTAAATTAGCCAAAAAATTTGCAAATTTTGACATTTTTAAGGGAAAACGTAAAATATAAATTAAAAATCATCATTATTAACTGTGAGCATATAGTTTGCAACATCAACACTTGTCTATTTAATGTCTACAAATAAAATCTATTCATCTTCAAAAGATGTCTTCGTTATTTATCTTCATTCTTATCATCGCCATAATCATTTTCATTATTTTCGTCATCGTCATCGTCATCATCGTCATTATGAAAAGCGTCAACAACAGTCGTGGCTTTTACAAAATATTAAAGCGAAAGCGGAAATTTCTCTGTTTACTGTAATTTTGTCTTTTTCACACAATTGACTCTTGTCCTTGTTGTTGTCTTTATTGCATACATATACATACGTACATTATTGTAAATAAGTTGAAGTTGAGTCTGCGCTCAGTTTGGGTCATTGAATGTGTTTATCTTAAACTTAAATTCATTCCATAGCCGATATATTTGTATAAATTGAAATTTTCACTTTAGATAAGCGATACACAAAGCCAGAAATATATACAGAAAAGTTACTTCCACTAATTGCCCATAATTAAATTTGAACGATAATTGCATTGCACTGTTTATGCTTTTACTCTTTTCACTCCTTTGCTGATCTTTTCGTTTTCTCCATGAGTTAAATGTCATTAAATTGAATTAAGTCAGAATCCATTGCTTAACCAAATTCGAGCTCAATACAAATATCCTTTCATTTAATACATGCAACTAACTAACTAACCTTAGAGATAAAACAAAAAGAAAGAAAAACAAACCGGAAATTTAATTACAAATACACCCGATTGATATGCATATATATTTATGTACTATTACAGCAATGTCAACAATCATCATGTGCTGCAAGTCAGTCAGGTCAATTGTATTTTAATTTTTTTTATTTTTTTTTTATATTTTTTTTTTTTGGTTTTCGTATAGACAACAACAATTTAGGGCATCATCATACAATCCACAATCCGTGCAATTTTTATTTATTGTTATGGGGATAACATTCCTTTCACTCCAATATACCTAAAGCTCTTACTTATTGCAATAGAATTGGTCAATAGAGTATTTGTGTTGTGAGTGATAAAAGTGGCTCTTGTGAAACCTAATCACAAGTACACACTAATTATAATCAATATGTCTGATAGTTGTGACTGCCCGTAAGGACAAAATGTGTGAACAAAAAAAAATTTGTATATTTAAAGAAACATAATAAATTGTGAACCGAAAACGAACCACCCAACTGTTGTCACTGAGTTATTAGCTACTTAAAAATTTGTCTAGGAATGCTTTCGTGGAAGATTCATTCGCTTCCTTCGAGTTTATGTCGTGTAATTTTTTTGAGATTCCTTTGCGATTTTTGCTTATTAAGTGATCTTTGCCAATAGTAAGAAAAAGATGAAGAAATCACCTCTCAGTTATTCATGTGCTCAACAGACAGTTAAACGGGCAGACATGGCTAAGTCAATTTATGATTAAGACAGTACGTATTCTATGAACACTAGCATCAGATGTTGGCAACGCTACACAATATCGGCATATGGCCTAAGATGAATTAAAAAAGTATGGCTCCTACGTTTAACTCAGTTCGCTAAAGTTTTTATTTGTGTGCTAAGATTTTGTTAGAAATCGGCTAATAATGCTTTTGCTCTTTGCGATTTCTGTAATTTTGTCAAATAATTTCACCCGAAAAGATAAGAGTTTCT